TGCATTCAGTAATTCAGTGCCTTCTCTGTGAGTTCTGTTACCAGAGCACACACCTTATTCAGCAGTAGGCCCATATTTTCCCTAGTCTTCATTTTGCTATTGGCATACTTAAAGAAATCTTGTTATCATTGACCTCCCTCACCAGATTTAATTCCAATTGGGCCTTAACCTTCCTTGTTGCATCTCTGCATACCCTGAAAGTGTCCCTATATTCTTCTCAAGTGGACAGACCTCTTTTCCACATTCTTTAGACTTTCTGCTTCCATTTGAGTTTTTCCAAGATCTCCTTGCTCATCCATATGTGTCTCCTTCCTAATTTGTCTGATTTCTTACTCCTAGGTGTATACCAATCTTGAGCTTGGAAGTAGTGATCAACAAACTCTTATGGGCCTCTTTACTTTCCAATGCTCTAGCCCATGGCATGCCTTCAAATAAGCTCTTGAATAAGTCACTGTTCACTTTCCTGAAGTCAAGGGTTGCAATTGTACTTACTGGCTTGTTTCTTCCATGTAAGGTCCTGAACTCCACTATCTCATGGTTGCTGTATCTGAAGCTGCTCCTGACCTTCTCATTCCAACATGTCCTTCCTTGACTGTAACAGCAAGGTCCATCAGCACACTTCTCCTCACTGTCTCCTCCGCCACCTGCATCAGAAAATCATCTTCCATGCACTGAAGAAACCTTCTGGACAGTGTGTGCATGGCAGTTATGCTTTTCCAGCAAATATCAGAGTTGTTGAAGTCCCCCATGAGAACCAGTGACTGTGAGCATGAGGCTGCATTCAGCTATCTGTAGAAGGTCTCATCAGATTCCTCCTTCTGTTAAGGTAGCCTCAACTGTGTCACTCAGATTAGCCTACCTCTTACTTCTCACCCATAAGTTCTCCACTAGTTTATCAGTGATCCCTAGGCAGAGCTCAATACTTTCCAGTTCTCTCACGTAAAGATCATTTTCACCATCTCACCTTGCTGGTTCGTCTTTCCTAAAGATTACGTAGCCATCCACGAAAGCATTTTAGGTATGAAAACTGTCCTAGAGTGAGATCATGGCCCTGTGACCACACATAGATCCCCAGTTCTTCTTGTTTATTCCCCATGCTGCATGCATTGGTAAATAGGAATTTCAAAAGAAAAAAAAAAAAGGAGCAGAGGATGCAATCCCTGTTTTAATCTGCATTCTCATAACACATTGTGTTCATAGCAGTTTGTAATATACCTATAGAATACCAGGTTACAGCATGAGAGTCAGAGAATGCATGATAATGCTGTGATTTAATCACAGTAGCATACTCCAACTAAACACCTTGGAGCAGTATTGTCTAGGTCAACGTACAGCAAAACACCACAAAACCTCCTTTCTGCTCTCCTATAGGTGGAATTATAATATTTCTTGGTTCATCCTAAATAAGTACAGTGAATTTCAACATTTTTTGGCATTATATTTTTTTCTCAAGGGAAATTTTAAAAGACAAGCTTTTTTTAAAAATGTGAATGTTCTAGTTTGTTTACTATCAGTTCAAATGTGGGGAAAAAGGTAGAAAGGGATAATATGTTATGAGTCATTTCATGAGCAAAGAAGAAAGTGAATTTTCTGTTCTGTGGTGAAGTATTTTGATATAAATAACAAGTTAAAGTCTTTCAAATTTTCATCACTGTAGAGAAGTTTGATCTGAAACAAATGCAATGTAAAACCTCCTATTTCCGGTATCCTAGATTTCTTGTCGTAAAAACATGGAAGATTATAAATAAGCTCTAATGTTGATCCACCCAAGGCAAGTTAAGTATATTGCTCCTTGCCCAATTGTATGATCCATGTATTTTTGTAATAATTTGTTTAACTAAAATAACCACATTTGTAAACACTTTATATTATTAAAAAAAAAGAAAAAGAAAAAAAGAAGGAACAAAGCCACTAACCTCATTTTGTAAACATCAATACCTTAACCTTCTTTAATCCTAAAAATATACCTTTAGAGCTATGCATCTTTATAATGTCTAGAATTGGTGGCCTGTAATAAGGCAAGATTTGCCTAGTCTAGCACTCCATTAAGGCATTGTTCATGTACAAGACCCAGATATCCATATGTACACTGTTTAACTGAATTAGAAATACTCATGCTCACTGAATTCCTTTTTCACCTGTCAGAGGAGTAATTTTTTTAAAAGTTAAAAAACACAATATAGTTCCCAGAGAAACTGAATGAACCGCAGTGTAGTATTAGCAGATAAGTAACACATTATATGCTTTGATTTTAGATCCCTGTTTCACAACCAGATCATCAAAACAACTCTTCCAAGTTCATTCTCAAGAAAGCTTATCAGGAGTAGCAAGTTCTTTTAAGGCTTAAGACTAAAAACATTGTCACTGGCTGTGAGAGGCAGATAAAGTACCAACTACCACAATTAGAAGAATCAAATCTATTGCTTGAAAAATAACTCTTTTGCGTCTTGGTGTTACTTGAAATCTATCTATATATATCTATGTGGTATATATATATATGTATATAATTTATACAATTCATAGAATGCAACTACTTCATATATTCATGAACAGTATAAAAAAAAAACATAACGAAGTTGTACCAGTAGTAATCATTCACATTCACTCTTCAGAAATATAAACAAGAAACCACACATGTAATGTTCAATCATAATACAGGATGCTAATCATATTTAAAACTGGACATCTATATACTATCATATGTAAATTAGTACCCTATCGAACTAGATAGCAAAATTTTCACTGACTTGAATGGAGCCAAGATTTTACTCCTGGTCATAGAATGTATTACACTGTGGTATATATTCACAGCACTTACTTTCCATACAGCACAAATGAGGAAACACTACTAGTACAATCACAGTTCCTGTCAGAGAAAAAACAAATGAGCTGTAGCCCAACATACTCCTGAATGTAATCAGAATCTGGACTGTATGGCTTGGACATTTTCTTTCTCTAAATCTACACATGGCCCAGGACCACAAGGTTGTCTTTGGAAAGTCACATATAATGAAGAAATAATTCCCACAGGCATATGCATTTGAAGGAACCAAACATTAATAATATGCAAGTCTCCTCTCCTACTTGTACATTATTAGGAAAATGTTTACTTGTTAAGCATATATTTTATTCACTTTGTTTCATTCTCGTTTACGTTCTGCATGTTTCAGCAAGAGATGTCCACAACTGGATGTTGTTTCAAACTTCTCACTTCTTGAAACATTAGTAGATTTATTGGGACTTTGTAGAAGCCGCTCATGATGTTGTGCACATTTGGAAGCTGACCCATCTCTGTATTCACAGCTTTGACAGAAGAGCACAGAACCTGGGGTAAGAGTGAGAGGGGGAAGGAAGCATTGCTAGGAAGGATAATTCGGAAAGATAAGGGGAAGAAATACTGAGTTCTTCCTTAGGCAGCCTTCTTTTAAGCATGGCCTTGCTATAGTCACTTGTAAACCAGCTAGTGGGGGTAAAGTGTGCCAGTACACACACAAAAATATATAAAAGCTAGGAGTTTTTCATTCATATTAAGAAAATTCCCTAATCCATATACAGGGATCTCTTAATTCCATAAAGAGAAATCAGTGCCTCAGAGGAGGCTAGAATTAAGGCAATGGCAGGCCTGAAACAGTGTGGCATCATGTTTCCCCACTTCTAAACACTGATGAATCATTTCAAACAAATCCTAAATTTTGTAATTCATCTGAATGGGGTCTTCCACTCAAGTTATCAACGCCCTTCGTAGTAATGACATTTTCTTGCTGAGAATCGGGCCTGAGAAGTTTTTATATGTTCTCCATACATGTCTACAAGTATTTACACATACTCTTATGCACACATGTATATATACACACACAAACATGCCCACACGCAAATTTATAAATATATGTACATATGCAAAGAGGTAAGATTGAAAACCATGTCAGATTTGGAACATTACCCACTTTTCCGAACCATTTAAACTACCATCTACACAGTACATATTGAAACTCAACTTTAAGATTTCTTTTATTTTTATGTACAGCTCATTTTTTTGTTTGGAAATAAAATATCTAAGTACAGACAAACTGTAATGTTTATATGTATAGCTTTCAACAATACTTTAGCTGAATAAATGCTTTGTACATAGTTCTGTCTTTTAATGAGTTTACAGCTACATTGATAAAATGGATTCCTCAATTCCTTGATTGTTTTCAACCAATAACAAGCAGAGAGACAATTACAAGTTAATATTAATAAGCAGCTCAAATAACACTGGTTAAATTATGTACAATACAAACCATTCATACAAATCAAGACTAGGATATTGAATTTGTTACAATATTTTGTAATAAAGATAAGACAGCCACTTATAACTTACATGTCCTCCATGAGGCATTTTCCTTCCTAAAGATCATCTGGAAGGTTTTAAAATAGCTTTGCTTACTAAACTCAACCAGGTTTAAAGAATCAGAGCTTAAAGAGTCAGAGAAACATAAAACCAGAATGTCTGCCCACATGTAAATTCCAAATGTTTGCCCATCTTTACTGGTAACAGGCTCACTCCATGGAAAAAGAGCCACCTAACACCACCTTGAATGTGCCTACTGTATGCTGGAAAAAGTCACTATGCTTTGCTGTGTTCATATAGCAAGGAATAAACTCTAGACACACATTTTTCTCCCATTTTAACAAGTATTAAGCCCTACAGTATTATTTACTGGTACAGCTACTCCAAGCAGTAGAATGCATGAGTGGGGATTACTGGTATACACTAAAAGGACTTTCAAAGAGATTTCCACCACACTGTGTAAGAAACTGTTCTCTGTCTAGTTAATCCATTTTGCTTGATAATAGTTTATCCCAAAACTTTAGTTATCAGACAATGAAAATCTCTCTTAACAGGAATCTCAATAGATATGAGCTGAAGAGTGTGTGTCTCTATGTTTATGATTTTATTTCAAATCCATAGTGATTTACAACTAGATTAATACATGGTGCTGACTGGGCAAAAATGACATTAGATTGTTTTCCACTAACATATTTGCAGCCATATGACATCAGCAGCAGGTAGACACATTCCAGGCAATAGATGTGGCTTTCCTCCTTGAGGTTACAGCCCTGTCATACGAACTCCTTTATTCCCCAGGCTTCAGTCTCAGACACGTGTTTTATCCTCACCCTGAGGGGAAGTAGGGTGTGTCACTGTGGTAGTTGTAATCAGGACACACCTTCTGTACTAGTTTATAATCTGTACTATAAAAGGAAATGTAAATACAGATTACTTTAAAGGGCTTGGAGCAGAGCCATGACACATGGCTCTGGGTCTGCTCCTGATAACAGGTTTTTGAAGGGTCATAGTTGCAGAGTGTGTTCTTGGTAGCCTTGTCAACCTTTTCGTACTCGATTCGACAGTTAAAGGACTTGGAATCTTTGGCATCAATCACTGTCTGTTGTGCCAAGTCAAATTCCACTATTTTTGTAGGGGGCACTAGGCTCACAGATACATTCCCTTGACCAGTGGAGTTATGCCTGAAGTAAACGCTAAACGTCCCATTGCCATGGTCAACGATTTTTCCTGTTATTAACAGATTTAGCTTCACAGTCTTGATGTTGGAATGAAAATCGCCCCAGCCAAACATTTTCTTAAATTTCCCAGTCTTGACAATAGGCCGTCTCTTTGCCCTGGGCCGAGGCTCTTGTAGGTCTGTGGAGTTCCTCAGCCAGTCCCAGAGATCTTGCTCAGTATAAGTTTCTGGGGCATCATATCGCAGGTCCAAATCTGTATCATTCTCCTTTCCACGAAAAGTCTGTGACAGCAGTCGGCTGATGGACAAGTCTTTGCTACTTTCTGTCCATATGTGCTTTAGTGTGGATTTGGAGCTTCCTGATTTAAGAAGTTCTGATTTACCTCCATTTGTTAAATTTGCACAGGTAACCTGAAAAAGAATGAAGGAAAAGAAAAAAGAAAGAAGACATTAAGATATATAATACAAAACCCACCATTTCCTCCTGAGAAAATGAGCAGATTTCAAAATCATAAAGAACTATTTTTGGGGAGAAAAAACTACTGTTTTTTCAAAAAACAGAAAAATTCTCTGTACTCAAGTAGAACAAAACATAACTGTCTATTTTCCTCTTCTTTCCAAGTAGTTGTTATTTAATTCTCTTTCGTCAATCTTTTGCCTTCAGAATTAATTCTGACCATTCATTTAATTCTTTGGCATACAAGCTATGTCTTCATGATGCCTGTAATTGATGAGTAAGGAATGAAGTTTGCAAAAACTAAGGTACACAGCTGTGTCATCCTGCTTTTGGTGACCATTTCTCAACTCAGAGTCAAGTACTTTTGTTTTAATGTTTTCTCCTCACAGTAGCTGTTTTTTCCCCCATCTGAGGCACATTCATTTATCATTACTGCCTCTTGAGTTCACTGTTAGGGTGTTGTCTTGATGCCAATTTGACCATGCTCAAAGTTTATGTCACTACAAATCCGACAGTAGCAACCTAATTTCCCTACTCCTTTTGTAAAAAAGACATTAGTCTGCAGTCTTGACTAAGACCTTCAGTAACAACTACAGTATAAATAATAGAATAATGTAAGTTTTAACAAGTTTCTTCAACAGCAATAAATCTACTGTGAGTTATACCCCAGTTAATGCAAGAGGAGTCACTCTCTTTTGCTCCCTTTCTAGATCAGCTACTGATTTGCCTTATCTGTATGAAGTCTGACATGCATTTTTCCCTTCCTCACTCCTGTTTCTTCACATCTTTCTCCATGAACCAGAGTGGTCTGTGCAAGACAGAGAGTCATTTGTGCAATTTCAAGAAAAAATATGGCTACTTATCTGAAAGTAATAATTTTTAATAATTGTACAGAGCACATTTAAATTAAAAAAAAAAAGAAAAAAGAAAAAAAAAAAAAAAAGGGAGGGAGAAAGAACTGTGGACCATGTTCCTAAAAATCATAAATTTCGGAGGTAGGTTTTCACAGAATTCAGTGTTGGAGCATTTATTTATTTATTTGCTTATTTATTTATTTATTTTCTCTTTGCTTTAATTGTGTGGAAAACCAAGAACAGATGCAGCCTCGCAGCTGTCTAACTCACAGCAGTCATGGAGAGCAGGAAGGGCTGGAATTAGCAGGGGACAGCAAGAAAACAGGAGGCATCTACAACACCCTTAGACTCATTTCTTTAAAAGCTTAGACCAGGCACACTACCACATTTTTTTTTTTTAGTATTTGAACTTACATGAAGAAGCCATTGAGTTTCTTATTTCCCTTTTCATGACTACATAATTCATTCTGAAAATGCCTGGTTTACAACTCTGTGTTCCGGCACTGAGTTACATTGTGCCTTCATATTTTCAGTTACATCTTTCTTTTTACTTAAAATAGAATTGAGTGTATTCCCAACTAAGGAAATATATTGAAAATTGGCTAATATTTAAACCATGACCCCTCTCTACTGCTTTAACTGTAGGTATATGACATGGACAATGTCTATCACAGCTTGACCTTTTCATTTCCTAACAATAATGGAATTGAAAATGCTTTCATTAGCTTAAATACACTTTCAAGACCAGTTGAAGACATATACATAAAAGCAGACTAAGAAGCCTTTGTATCCTCAGATAGGAGATATGCCCACAGCCTTTACAGTAAACAAATAGGTAAACTGTTCTGTCACATCCCATACTACAGCTTCCCAGTGCAATTCCAGTGAGAGGAGTGAGTAGAAGTAATAGCTAAAATATGGGTTTTATTTAAGATCTTGCCAAAGGGATGACTTTTTCCTCTTTTGAAATGAAAGAAGGATAAACACAGCCTAGCATTTTGATAGCCACTTCCTAGCTGCATCTTAGAATCAACACAGTGAGCCAGGAGAGAAGCTGTAATGAAATGCACTGATGGTGCACTGGTTAATGAAGCAGCAATGAACATGTCACGGAGAGAGCGAATGAGACTCAGAAAATAATTTTATAGTGGCATATGTGGAAGGCGTGCAAAATAAGGGGAGATATGCGGCTAAAAGGAAAAATGTGCCTGTCCAGCATGAATCTGTCAACCTGTTATGAATCTAAGCACGTAGTTAGGAGAGCTAGTCTACCTACAATCTGTAGGTAGGACACAGATTACCGCCACTATATTTTTCTTTCCTTGGAGCTTGCATTTCCTTTGTTTGCCTTTCTGCCTCCAATAATTTACATTTCATAGGATTGCAGCAAGTTCCATGTAACAAGATGTAACGGAAGAAAAACTATTTAAAAATAAGGTCTTTTTTTTTTCCAGCTAAAACTGAACAACAAAGGGAAGCAAGTATTTTTTTTTATATATAATTGCTGACTGATCCAATACAAGTACATTTTTGAAAGCCAGTATATTTCATGGAAATGAATGATTCAGATCCCATGTATGTTCAACAGCTTCATACTTGACCTAATAAATACAACTGATTGTTACTGTCATTTATTTAGTAACGTCTGAAAGGCTTCTAGTCACGCAGTCAGCCCTGAGACCTCTGCAATTTTCATTGTGGGTAACTGACTACATTCATGACTAAAGGCCTGAACCTGCCCTCCCTAGTCAAGTGTTTGTGCAAGTACTCGAGAAACAATCCACAACTGTTAATAAAAAAGTTCTAGAATTCATAGCTCTTCACTAACGTTTTCCAGCCAAGTACCTTTTCATGTACTGTTAGTGCACTATGTGCTATGGAAAGCAGCTAAATGTATCCTCAGAGACTGGCACACCCAATAATACAGAGCACTTCTGTGTAATAGAATTTCTGCAAGTGCAGCAGTTATTTTCACATGAACTAATCCACAATTTTCTTCTGTCTCTCTTCTTTCCAACCATAAGTCTGAAATAATACAGGAAAGATCATAAAATCCATGTGATTTTGCACTTAGCACTGTGAAAACCAGCTTACTGAAACACAGACTCATTTTAGCAAAACCTGAAAAAAGATCCAATTTTAAATGACTAATTGAAGGTTAAACCCCAAAGTAGACAAAATTCCATCCTGGCTTTTCCTTCTTCTTTGACTGTATGTGCATATAATCCAGAAACGTGCATACAGTCCGTTAACAAGTAATTCAACATAAAACGAATTGCCTTCTCTTCCAAAACCACAGCCACTCACAGACTGCAATGCATTCCCCTTCATTATTTATCTTTTTTTCAGTAACAAATTTCAGTAAGAATTCACTGGGACAGTTGAAGTCTATACAGTAGGGATGAGAATGAGCATTTTTTCTCTATATTTACATTATAAAAATTTATAGAGATGACAGGAACAGATTTATGTCTACTTCACTCCACAAAAATAAGACCTATTTCAGCTTCTGTTGGCTGAAGTGATCATGGTCCAGGCTTGTTTTTCATTGTATGTATATACAGAGCTTTCTATGATAGCCAGTCTTCACTGGTAGCTTTAAGCTTTACTGTAATGGAGGAACACTAGAGTATACAAGAAACAACAAAAAGTTTTGCCAAGTACAGTGCAATAAATCAATGTTGCAAAAGGGCTGAGGAGATGAATTTCCTGTGACTACATAGCTAGAAGTGAATAATTATGATGTCAGTAGTGTCTGTATAGAACAATAGTAAGGAGAAAAAAGATTTAGGAAAGCTTAGCCATTGCAACAAATGTTACTGGAAAAGCAGCTCAGTAAGTATAACAAATTGACCTTTGCTTCCAGTCTTGTATCTTTAATGGAAAATACGACTCTCCACTACCTAGTAAAGCTTACTGATATAAAAAAGGTACAGGGACCAGACTGCCTGGAACCTTTTTCAATGAATAATGACAAACAGCTATTCCATTTCTTTCTATGTTTTTAGGCAGAAATATAGACAGCAGTTTCCCTGGACACAATACATCAAAGCACAATTAATAAAAGACGTAGGAACTGATCTGTAATGCAGTTTTTTGCTCCATTAAAACAGAATTTTCTATTCATTCTATATCCTTCTTTTTGAGGATGAAGAAATTTTCATGATGATGTTTAGCTTCATTAGATGTGTTTTAGTGAATATCTGCAGTTCATTTAGGACTTCCTAAGGGATAGGTAGGATTTGTCTCAAAAACCTTGGAATCCTTTTTAAGACATTGAATTCTGAATGCTCAGTCAGATCAAACCTGAACATTTGAAACAAAGAAAACAAAGTTGGAAAGTATGTCAGGAAGTCGTCAGGGTCTTAAGTGGTGAGTTAGGCTCTATTCTCATTTTAGGGCAAAATCAACCATAGTAGTATCAACATTAAGATTAAATCTCAAATTTATCTGAGTCATTCAAAGAGATACACAGTATCTTGATTTCTCACTTTTCTCTAATACAGTTCATTATCTGTAATTACAGTATTGGCTTAGAAATTATGTATTTGTTTCTCTGAATATATGACTACTTGAGGGCAAATGAAAATGTAAACAACAATCTAATACTCAAGGTAGAAAATCTCTCTCTTCAGGTAAACAACTAATCAAAACTGAAATCATTTTTGTTGGCATAGCTCTGTAGCAATTTGGCAGCACTGTTTGTGTACCCTCTGTACACAAGAACTTAGAATTTTCTTTCGTCTGTCAAATATCCCAGCTGATGGAACAGTACTTATGGACATAACTGTAAGATAGACTCAGTGAAGGAATTGTGGCTGCTATAAATTGATATGTGAGAAGAGGGCAAATGCAGAAAATCTCTCAAGTTTCTACCTCACACAAGCAGAAATCTGTGTGTCAAACTTAGACAACATTTTTCTGTTTGACCAGCAAAGAATAAGTATTTAGATTTTTTTCTTTTTAAATCAAAGCATCATCAAGCTCAGATGAACGTGAAAAAATGAGACAGTAAATCCTAATTTACTCAAATGAGAACACAAAAATGGTTATGTGGGATCAAGCCAAAAACTCTGGCCTCCAACAGCAGCCAGAGGCCA